CCAAAGTCATTTATGTATATTTAAATAAAATTGTGATCACAATATTTTCTCATGCTTGTTTTTTTATATTTTGAAAATTTCTCATGTAATGTCTGATTGGTCCTCTATAAACTCCTAAGTAAAGCAGATCATGTTCTAGTTACTCTTCATTGCTGTGATAAAACACTGTGATCAAAAGCAACTTAAGGAAGAAAAGTTTATTTTGGATTATGGTTGAAGAGGGGGAGTTGATAGTGTTGTGGGAGGCATGGTAGCAAGGAGCCAGAGCAGGAGCTGAGAGATCATGTTTCCATCCATATGCAGGAAGCAAGGAGCAAACTGGAAGTAAGGTGTGGTTATAAACTCTCAAAGCCTAGCCTTAGGGTTGTACTTGCGACAGCAAAGCTCCACTACCTAAAGGCTTCAAAACCATCCCAAACAGCACCACCAAGTGGGCACCAAGTGTTCAAACACCTGAGCCAATGAGGGACACGTCATCTTAGGGTTGTACTTGCGACAGCAAAGCTCCACTACCTAAAGGCTTCAAAACATCCCAAACAGCACCATCAAGTGGGCACCAAGTGTTCAAACACCTGAGCCAATGAGGGACACGTCACAGTCACACCACCACATTCATCTCTCTGGCTCCCATAGGCTCATGCCCTATCATAACACAAAATGTATTAGTTCAATTTCCAAAGTCCTATAGTCTGTAACAGTCTCAACACTGTTCCAAAGTCCAAAGTTTCTTCTGAGACCCAAGTAATTTCCTGATTGTGATCCCCCTTCCCATGTAAAACCAAAAACAAATTACATACTTTTAGCCTACATGGACGATACATTTCCATCCCAAAAGTGAGGAATGAGAGCACTGTGAGGAAACAATGGATCAAAGCAAGACCAAAAGCCTGCAGGGCAAGCACCAAATCCTGTAGCTCCATGTTCCTTATATGGCAATAAAGTTTGAAGGGGCTTAGATGACTCTGATCCTCCATCTTTGTTACCTATAATATACATCTCTCCTTGGACTTGTACCGCTTCATGTGTGTGGCTCTCTTCAGCACATTGTCTCATGGTTCTGGCATCTCCAACATTTGGGGCCTCCACTGCAATCCAGGCTTTACCTTTAGTTTCATGCAATGACCCTTTAGTGCCTCCTGTCATTTCAGGGCCTTCCCACAGGGACTCATCTGTCACAGGTTGTCTGGCCTCAGTGGCTATCCAAAACCGCAGTGGAAGAATCCACAATTCCTCACCCTTGCATCTTTTGTGTTTCCAAAGCGGATACAACATCAACGACACTGCAAAGTTCAGCTACCAGCTTGGGATGAGCCCTTGCCTCCTTTAATCACATTTGCAGAAGATTTTGTATACAGTTGCATTCTAAGAGCAGAAAGCTCCTTAGACCTTCTTTCATAAGTTAGAAGCTTATCTAGTGGGGTTTTGCACGGAAGGTGCAAATGTTCCTTTCAAATGTTCCAGAGCAGAAGGCCTCTCCTTTATGATGCTAATCTTAACAATTACAGCCTCTTTCTCAGCACATGCATTTGCTACAGCATCAAGCTTCTTAGTGCCCCTTTTCTCTCCATACTGTAATTCTGTATCTTTATTTGCCCCATTTGGTCTTTCTCATTGTATACCTGCATTAAAAAAGTTGCCAGTAATAACTATGCCAAAGACTCAACATTGTGTTGCCTTAGAATTTCCTCCACCAAAGAAATTAGTTCTTTGAGAATTCCATGCAATGTGTTTTGATAATACTTGTCCTTCTCTACCAAATCCTTCTAGATTTTTCTCCCCTTCCCTATACAACCATTTTTTTCTCTTTTCATTCTTAACCTTAAGTCAAATTTATGTTGCCCACATGCTCTTGGATGTGGGGCCATCCACTAGCATGTAGTCAAACTATCAAGGGCTACATTCTTAAAGAAAAGTGGCTCTCCATCTCCCAGCAGCTATCAGTTTTCAGTAGCTTCTCAGCCACAGGTGGGACATTGTGCCCACCTCCCCTTCCCATACTCTATGTCTGGCTTAAGCTTACACAGGTCTTGTGCATGCTATTGCAATGTTATGAATTCCTATGTGAACCTGTCCTGTTGTGTCCAGAAAATCAGTTCCTTGAAATTATTCACTTCTTCTGGCACTGAGTCTTTATGTCCCCTTTCCACAATGGGCTCTGAGCTTTGAGAGAAGAGAGTGTGAATACAGGTGTCCAATTTGGGGATGAGCACTCTAAAGTTTCCTATTCTCTGCACTTTGACTAGTTTTGGGTCTCTGTATTAATTTCCATCTACTGCCCAAAGAAGCATCTCTGATGAAGGTGAGAGATTCACTAATCTATGTGTATAACGAGAAGTCATTAGGAGTTGGTTTAAAACTGTGTTCATTTAGTAGAATAGTAGTAGTAGGTTCTCCCCTAGGGTCTATGACCTGTCTAGGTAGCCACAACTTCTTGACCTCAATAATGGTGCCAAGTATGAGTTCCACCTTTTGGAACTCAATCCTTTTGGCTTTCAATCCAATCATAAAAAAGCTGGTGACTTTTATGAGGTTATGCCACTATTGCACCAGTGGGCATGTCTTACCAGGCTTGTCATTGTTATAGCTCACAAGGTTTACAGCTGGATAAGACACTCGTCTCCTCTTTTAGCATGTATAGCACCTTCCAGCACTATGAAGGCTAGCCAGTAAGGTCAAAGCTTTAAGGTTAGCAGCAACTTGATATCTATTCTGTGACTCAAGTATGTCACGGCTTCAGTTATAAGGTCTTGATGTCAAGCCATCCTACCAAAAGCAATCTATAGAGTCAATGCAACCTCCATTAACATTCCAGTACAATTCTTCACACAGAAATTAGAAAAAATATTAAATTTCAAATGAAAACACAAAGTACAAAGATATCAGAATCAATCCTGAACAACCGCTACTAATTCTGGAAGCATCACCATCCAAGTTTTTAACTTAGACTACAGAGATATAGTGACAAAATAGACACATTGATCAACGGAGTAGAACTGAGGACACACATACAAGCACACACTACAACAGCTGCTTGATTTTTGACAAAGCGGTCAATAATAACTCTTTGGAGAAAAGGTAGCATCTTCAACAAATGGTTCTGGTCAGACTGGCTAGCTACATGCAGAAAAATGAAACTAGATCCTTATCTCTCACCTTGCATGAAACTCACCTCCAAGTGAATCAATGACCACAACATAATACCTGATACCCTGAATTTGATAGAAGAGAATGTAAGGATTACACTTGAATATATAGGCAGAGGAAAGGATTTTCTGTCCAACAGCCCAGGCATTAAGACCAACAATTAATAAGTGGGACCTCATGAAATAAAAAAAAAACTTCTGTACAGCAAAGAACACATCAACTGAGGGAGAGGCAGCTTAAGTAATGAAAAAAAATTTTACCAGCTCAGCTATACATCTGGCAGATGTTAATATCTAGACTATACAAGGAACTTAAAAAGGCATACAAATAACCCATTTATAAACTGGGGCATGGAACTAGGGGGAATTCTCAAAAGCTGAAATACAAGTGACTGAGAAATATTTAAAAATTGTTCAACATTCTCAACCATCAGATAAATGCAAATTGAAACTATTTTGAGATTTTGTCTTACCTCAGAATGGCTAGAAATTAAAAAATGGCTAGAAATTAAAAAAAATGGCTAAGATAAAAACAAAGTGACAGCAAATGCTGGCATGCATGTGGGGAGAGGGGTGTGAGATAATTGTCCCATTTAAGGCTGAGCACCCTGCTGTCTCATTTTCTCTTTGTGATGATCATCTGTGGGTCTCTGCATTAATGGCTTTTTATAGCAAGAAGAAATTTCTCTGATGAAGGTCAGGAGATGCACTAATCTACTGGTACAGCAGTAAGTTACTAGAAATCACCTTAATACTATGTCTATTCAGTAGAATATCAGTAGTAGTTTCTCCCATAGGGACTATGACCTATCTAGTGATAGGTTCTTGGCCCTGACTACAATGCCAAGTATGGATTCAATCTCATGGAGCTTGCCTTAAATCCAATCAGAGGACATTTGGTCACTCCCATATTTGTGCCACTGTTGTGGGCATAGCTTGGCAGTACTAGTGAGCATAGCTTGGCAGACCAGTCATTATTGTAGTTTGCAGGATTCATAAGTGGGTAAGATTGATGATTATGTTTCACCTCGGGTAGTGTGACAGCACCTTCCAGAACTGGGAAAACTAGCCAGTAGGGATAAAGCTTTCAGGCCATACTTGCTTAATTTCTCCATTTTTTAAAAATGATGTTTTGGACCTTAGCCATTCTGAGTAGGGTAAGATAAAAATGTCAGAGTAGTTTTAATTTTCATTTCACTGAGGTTAAAGACGTTGAACTTAGAAAAATGTTTTTCAGACATTTGCATTTCATCTTTTGATAACCCTCTACTTAGTTTCTTATTTCAATTTTTATTTTTATTTTTTGAAAATTTCACACATGTTTATTGTATTAGCATCATTTCTACCCCTCCCATTCCTCCCAAATCTTCTTCTATGTACCCCCAAACGCCTTCAATTTCGTGTCCTCTTTTTTGATTATTATTGCTGCATATACTGAGTTCATTTAGTAGTGCTTGTGTGTACATATGTTTAGGATGGCCACTTGGGATTAGAAAGGTTTTCAGGGAACTTGACCCTGGAGAAAACTGATTCTTCCTCCCTCAGCATCCACTGATTGCTTCATCTAGTGACGGGACCCTATGACATTTCCTCCATCCACACTGGCATGTCGACTGATGCTGTCGACTGATGCTGTCTTGTCGACTGATTCAGGTCTTGTTTAGGTCACCGTATTGCAGAGATTTCATGGGTACAGCTTCTCTGTCTTATCGAGAATGCATTATCCACCAGTGGACATCCAGTTTCTCAGGCTCTTACAGTCTTTCTACCTTCTATTCCTTGTTGTTTCCTGAGTCTTGGGCATAGGAATTGCATTGTAGATGTACCAATTGGGCTTTACCCCAATTTTTATTTGGGTTTATTTATTTATTTGTTTATTTAATTTTTAGTTATTTTTATGGTTTAGATACTAACCTTCTGTAAGCTGTATAGCTGGTGAAGATTTTTTTCCCCATTCCGTACATTGCCTCTCCACTAAATAATGGTGTTCTTTGCTGTATAGAAGCTTTTTAATTTCATGAGGTCCCAGTTGTTGATTGTTGATCTTAATATCTGTGCTATTGAGACCCTGTTCAGAAAGTCCACAACTGCAATTTTTATTGTTTTTCTCGTAAATATTTTTCCTTTTCAGCTACAAAATGTGGTGAGAATCTCTATATGTCAAGTGACCCTACGCCCTGGCAAGCTGCAATCCAGAGGTGGTATGATGAAAGCGAGGACTTTAATTACGGTGTAGGACCAAAGGGCCCCAATGTAGCTGTTGGACATTACACTCAGGTAAGGGGAGTGGGTAGAGACACCTTAGCCATTAGCAGTGTAATATAATGATTAAAGCTTCTCCAACTTATAATGAACTCCTGTATTCAGCTGCGGGGGTCGGGGAGGGTGAGGTGGTACCATGTGGCATTGACGCATAACTGATAGGTGAACCCACATGATAAATTTGGTATTTTAAGAAGTTATGAAAGTAAAAGTTTATTAATTTGAGTCCCCAAAGTAGATATTTTCATAAGTGTATGCTATAAACTACGGCTGGCACACGTTTCTGTGTTATGTCTGCTATCATTTTTTTTAACCATTCTTCTAATGTATCTTTATATATTTAATCCCCTGTGATTTATAGCTTGTTTGGTATTCATCTTACAAAATTGGATGTGCAATTGCATACTGTCCCAACCAAGACAGCCTAAAATACTTCTATGTCTGCCAATATTGTCCTGCGTAAGTACACACTTTAATTTAACCTACAATTTACTCTTTGTTGTCTAATAAGACGAGCCAGAATAGCAAGTTTATTCCAACAAAGGAAGGATAAACTTCTGGATTTTTCCTTTAAAAAAAAAAATCTAGACTTTTTTTTTTTTTTTTTTTAAAGGCGGTTTCCCTGTAGACCCAGGTGGCCTGGAACTCACTAGGTAGACCAAATTGACCATTGATATAGAGATTCACCTGCCTCTTCCTCCCAAGTGAGTTCTGGGATTAGAGGTATGCACCATCACACTCAGTCTAAAATCTAGACAGCTTTAATTTGTCAGGGAAGAGAGAAAGTTCACAGTTCTAAATGCAAAATCTGAAGCTCTCCTTCCTCACTTATAAAAAGACGTCATTTCTGTCCATTTTCCTTCTCTAGGCTCAGGCTCGTTGAAGAAGCATCTGTAGTGTGCATTTCTCTAAGGATTCTTGTTACTGCTTTTGCTCATTTCACACTCCATGATGCTTAAGCAAGAGTTGTTATTGAATTGCAAATGGGGACATGACATGCTTTCAGCTTTTTTTTCTGCTCAAATATTTTTATATCCAATTATATTTAAAAAGAAAAAGAAACTCCTTACATTGTTACTACAACTACTCCTGTATTATGTAGCCCCAACATATTTGTTAGTTTTAATTACTTTTCACATTTGAAATCCTTTATTCTTGGAAAGGGATGGGGGCCGGCATACTTCTTATCAGATTCTTTAGAGAGTGTTACCCAGGTGATGGAGGACTCCAGTTTGAGAGGAGTGACCTTTTCTGTCAAAATCTTTTGGGGTTTGCCAGAGAGAATTTTAGAGAGAATCTGAAGGTCCTGGATGTATACATCTAAGTTAATTGTCCAGCCATCAAGGCATCACATATGTGGGCCTAGGAAATAGTGTCTGAAATGAGTAATGTGGGGAAGAAGGGGAAAAATCTCCCAGAACACCTCTGTATTCATGACATGATTTTACCAAGTGCGTTCTCTTTCTTTCTCCTCCCCAGTCTCTCTTTCACTCCCCCCACCACCAGAGAGAGAGAGAGAGAGAGAGAGAGAGAGACGCTGTGCAGGGACTGATGATCAGCTGCATTGCTTTGGGTCCTCGCCTCATGGTACAACTGAGATTTAGATTCCTATGTATTTTCAAACTCCTTAACTGGCCCATACGATAATGCTCATCATAGTTTAATTCACATAGGATGAGAATACCTTGGATATTGGTGTAGATCAAAGCTTTCTAAACTGTCATTTCTTTCTTGGTAAACATAACAATTTCACATGTACCACTTATTTATTTAGTTTTTATTTTTATTTTTTTTATTTTTTTTTGAGACAGGGTCTCTCTGTAGCTCTAACTAATTTAAAGGATGCTCCAGCCTCTGCCTCCCAAGTGCTGGGATTAAAGCCATCTGCCACCTTGCCTGGCTACATGTGCCATTTCTTAAAAGACTAGCAAGGCCTTTTAAAGTGCGTACTCCTAACTGGACAAACTAATTTAAATACACTGCTTCCAGCAACAAGAAAAAAATATCACGAAGCTATATTATCCATTTAAAAATAATATGGTATTTCTTAGCTTTAAAATATAAAATATTCAGTATTTTTTCCCTTGACACTACCACTTACCTGTAAAATATTCTTTCTCTAGAGGGATGCATTCACCATGCAGGGTCCTGCTTTAGCCTTTTGGTCATCTGTTGGGCAACAAAGAGGGTGACGCCACATTTAAATCTACTAGGATAGTTCTAGATGCGAGTTACTTTGTTTAACTTACTCAACCTGCGGAATTCTGGTCTGAGTGATAGGTTCATATATGAAGAATTTTATTCTATTTTTAAAAAATTTCATTGAATTTTTATGCATATCATACATCATGATCATATTTAGACCCCCTCCCTATCTGCACCCGCTCATAGACCCCCATGCCAGATTTCATGCATTCTGACATATTGAAGTATTTTCATAATTTGGATTGTTTCTAAGTTACACTTTGGAAATCATAATTTTTCAGTTTCATGCACAAAGTTGAAAACCATGCACAGCCATACGTATATATAATAACTCATGCTTTAGTATATATACCAAGACCAAGGGGCAAATAACTGGATATTTCAAATTTCAGTGGCAACAATGTGATGAGCAAGAGCACCCCTTACCAGCAAGGGGCCCCCTGTGCCAGCTGTCCTGGCCACTGTGACAATGGACTATGCAGTAAGTATGAAGCTTATCCTAGTGATGGTGCTCTATTTTATTCCATGAATTATAAAATAACCTACAAGATGCATTTTGAAAGAAGAAGGAAAAAACCATTAAAAAATGTTGAAATAAGCATTTTGTGAAGTTTAGTAACTTACTTTTTATTTGTAATGAAAAGAATTTTAGTTTATGTTATATGCTGGAAAGTTTGCCCTCAGTGACTGTGACTATGCAGAGACTATTCATTGTCCAGCTTATTGATATTTCAAAGTTAATATCAATAGGCCAAAAGTAGTATTAAAAAATAACAAATGTAAGGATGGAGAGATGGCTCAATGATTAAGAGCTTTTCCTGCTCTTGTAGAGGACTTGGGTTTGGTTCCCAGCACTGATATCTGGTGACTCACAACTGTCTATTGATCCAGTTCCAGGGGATCTGATGCCCCCTTTTGGCCTTAGTGGGCACCTGCATACACATGCTGCTCATAATGCCATACAGGCACACATAAGTATAATTTTGTAAAAACCTTAAAAGAAAATCAAAATGTATAACACCACAGGAATTGAGACCACGTTAAAACCCAGCTTCTACTAACACATCATATATTTCTGTTTCGATGCTGTCTGTGAGCTTGTTATATTGATTTTCTCATTTCTTTCCTTTAATGTAATTAGAAATGTAATGCTTACCTTAAAAATGATCACTTTTCCTGTGATTAGGCAGCAGGTTTGTGCATATATTTAGTCATAGTGATATCTAAGCTGCATACAGTGTTAACTTATGGGAGAAATATTGCTACAAATGAAAGAACAAAATAGATGTCGCATATCTTATTATTTTGTCATGAATAGAAATAAACATAGTTACTGACTTCTGTTACATAAGATATTTCTACTGAAATTACTATGAATAGTAGAGGATAGGCACTCACTGAGAGTTTTGCGTTTGGCTACATTCATCTTTATTTAGTAGTATTTCTGACTCAGTTGTGTGCCTATAAATCAAATGATTAATAACAAAACTATGATTAACCAAGAAGAAATTATGCTGAATAACTATACCTCTACTGAATGCTATTTATTGAACAGTTTGGAATTCAATCTACTTGTAGTGGCACTCAAAAGAAAATTTTAAACAGAAGAGTTACAGGGTCAGTGATGGTACATAAGAACTTCCTGGCACCTGGATGCAGGAATAAGCAGACAGGCCAGCCTGGAAAAAATGTCAAATGTACTTTATAAAATGCAATGCATGCTATTACTGCAGTATAAGTAAAATGAATGAATAGTAGTGTTTGAGTGTTTTTCAAAAGAAAAGGGAAGAGATTTCAGGTTGGTTCCTGCTCCAGGTTCAAAATTTCATTGAGCTTGTAGGAGGAATGTAAAGAGACCATGCCCAAGGAAAAACAAACCAGCCTTCATAGTATGATGAGTTCAGGTTGAAAGTTATGGTGTCTTAGGTTTTTGGGAAAACACATGAGTAGAAACATTATGGGGAAAGCATGGCATACTATGCTTGTTTTACATCTGTAGCCATCCACAAAGATCATTTACTCTAGAAAGCACAAAGTCATGCTCTCCAATAGTATGAGAAAGTATTCTTTATAACATACGTCCTGTAAGCTTAGCCACTAATGACATGTGGCCTGTGAATACTTGAAAGGGGCTAGTTAGGTTTAGAAACAAAATTTAATTTGTGTTTAAAAAGCCCTGTGTCTAGGAACTTCCATATTAGACTTGATAGATATAGAGTTGTTTACATATCCTTTCCTTTGCCCACTGATGGATAAAAGCAGGTTACTTCAGTTTAGAAATTTGTCACTGAATTTAACACGAGAAAAAGAGACATGGGTGAGCTGGTGGGGCACTTCCCGTGTTCCTCAAGACTTAGCATGACGGAAGTGATGCTAACGTGTCTGTCTTTCCCTACTCCTCCCCATATACTTTACTGACTGGATTTTTCTCCAGCTACTTCAGAAAACAGCAACAAGGTAACTGAATCTGTTTTCATTTTAGCCAATAGCTGTGAGTTTGAAGATCTCCTTAGCAACTGTGCATCCTTGAAGAAAACAGCGGGCTGTGAGCATGTGCTGCTCAAGGAAAAGTGCCAAGCTACTTGCCTGTGTGAAAACAAAATCCATTAGCTTCTCTAGTGTGATGCATGAAGGATGATGGGGAAAGGAATGCAGCACTTAAGTGACACCTCCTGGGGAAAAAAGTAGAGACATTAGTGACAAGTTGGACCGCAAATGACAAAGCTTCTTTTTCTCCTGGATTTCTAGAGAAATCTATTTCATACAACAATTACAATAGTAGCGTTGTCCACCATCACAACTTTGGATTTTGAAAAAAAATGGTGCTTTAAATTTAGTGAATTGGATCAAATGGAGAATTCTGAATGTTGTTACAATCACAGATCATTCATTTCTAGAACTCAGAAGAAAAATGTGTCCTAAAACAACTTGCTAAGAACACACTGCAATAATGCCATTGTCACCTTCTACACAGCGTTTACTGGTGTAAGGCATGAAGCTTGGCATCTATTTGTTCTATGGCCTTTCTCTTGAAAGTAATCAGCTCCTTAAATAAATAACTTACAAAAACAACTACACTGGTGTGGTTCTCATGTGTCATGGTGCAGTGACCACAGTTCAAGCCTGAGGGGACACCGATGGATAGAAATCAGGACACAGGGGATGCAGAAGTTTATGTGCCAGTGCATGTTAATTGTAAACCAAACCAAGCTTATATAAGAATCAGATCTGGAGTATCCAGGGAATAACTAAGGAAACATCACTAAACAGAAAGTTACCAAGGAATAACCAAGGATACATTACCTTACTACCAAGAATACATTACTTCACCAACCGAAACTCCCATGACATTTACAGTACCCAAGATTCAGCTACATAATATTCATAATATCTTAGATATAAGGTGTACTGTTTGTGATTGCTCTTAGCAACTACTATAATTCATTATTTCTATATAGAAACCAAGCTAACAGTGCCGAGAAACTCCGGTGCCCATAAACTGAAACAGAACTCTTTGGTTATGTTTCCATGACTGCCAATTAATCAGGGAAGCATAGCCTGTCAACTTAGACCACAGAAGCAGAGAACAGGGAAACTCCACACCCAAGGTGGAAGCATTCTTTCTCCAAAGCTTAAGTCAAGGCAAGCTGAATAGTTCCCAACAGTTCCCTCTTTCTTATTTAATATAACCACAGAATATGCCACATCCAAGATGGAAGGAATGTGCCTGTCTTAGGTTGCCTTCTGCAAGAGCAAAGCCTTACCCATCATTGGCACGCAGCTTCAAGCAGCTATGCCCTGTCTTAGGTTGACTTTCTCCCAGAAGATCTTACCCATCATTGACTACAGGTCATAGGGGAGGGAGCACGAATTCTCAATAGCCTTGACAAGCCACAAGAATATAACCAGATCTGGTATCCTCTGCCAAGCTTCAGGTCAAACTGAATTGTTCAGGCCTTAACAATTCCCCTTTCTTTATTAACTTTATCTAGATTTTCCTTTTGAAAACATAGGGAAGACAAAAGAATCTCAGCACTACATTTCCGAGCATCTTGGTTTAGGCATCAAAAGACACATCGACCTCCTATAAGCAGTATGCAAAGAAAAATTATCAAGGTTATTAAAGAAAA